ATCTACACCCAGGGGCCTGCACACAATGAGAGCATCCAATACATGTGTGAGTTGAACTGAACCTTGTCCTGGTAGGATACAATCTTTGTGATCAGTGACAATAAGACATAGCAATCAGATGAGAGATCAAAACTCTTTTTTTTTTCCTAAGCACTTTTTTGAAGGAGGCAAATAACAGATTTCCTTCCTGGCTAGCACCTGGCTGAGGCCAATGTCATCCACAATCCCTGACCTTCTGCAGACTGTCTGAAGAAGGCTGCTGAGCCACGATGCTCTGTTGAACTTTAGGAACCACGGTGGGGAGCCCACAAGGTTAGGATCTGTAGACGCACATTCCCTGTGATACCAGCCAGGTTAGTCCTCAGCCATCCATGCACAGGTCTCTGAGGCTCCCAAAGCCTGGATGCTGAGCCAGTCTCCAAGGTTGGCAAGGACTTGGAGGCCAGACTCCTCCAGTGGGCTCCTCCAGTGGGCAGCTCCAGTGGGCAGACAGGCTCTCTCCCCCTCCCCAGAGAACTGATTCTGCCATAGAATGGTTCTGCTATGGGGAGTGCTGGCCAGCCAAAATCTAGTCCCTCTTGAAACAAATCCCACCTTCCAGATACATGTGGAATACATAAATTACTTCTTTGTCTCAACAGTGCTCAGTGAGTCAAAGACAACCATTGGCTCTTCTTGGGTTTTCTCTTCTACAGGCTAAACTACTTACTCATCTTATGAGGTTGACATCCTCCTTGGACTACTCTGGACATTTCTCTAGGTCAGAAGCTTCAAACCTTTTTTGCTTCTGACCACAGTCAAAAATGCATTTTACACAGCCAGTCCTTACTTCTGTGCACGTGTGTACACAACCAAAGCGTTTTGTGAACGAATACTTACCTTCTTACATGTAATACACCTGGATGGCTTCTAATCTACTTCACTCTTTCAAAGGCAGCTTGCAACCTGTACCAAGTCTGTAACCCAGAGCTGAAAGCATGCTCTAATTTCACCGAGCTGGTCACCCATGTCCAGCCTTAATTCATAATATATTGAGCTCAGACCCTAAGTGGGAGAACACACCCCTTTCCATGAAGCTATCAGCCTATCTGGGCTGCAAGGAGAATCCTTGGCATCATTCTGCACAGGGATTTCCCCCAGCTCAGCACTTCCTTTTCCTACACTGCTCCTCAGCCCAGCAAACACATAAGCACACACCAGCAGCGACAACACGCCGACCAGAAGCTCGTTCCTGCCCCATCATCATTATCATTTACTCTCAACACCTGAAACACCTTTTCTCCACTCCTCTCATTTTCCTGCTGTGTAAGCTGGGGGAACTCAGGGGAGCAGCAGAGATTTAGAAATCCAAGTTTTGAAAATAGCGGTAGGTAACTGACAAGGCGTGTAGTCTCCACATAGACTGGCATGAACCCTTCTTGATGGAACCCAGAGGCCAAAGGCCACCACCACTCCAGCCTATTTAGACCAGCTTGTGTCCATCCTAGAATCAGGTCACCGAATCTTTCCCCTTTATTTACTCTGTCACTATAGTGTACATTTTGGTGATCAGGAGAACTGGCTATAAAACCTGGTTCTACTACTCGTATAGAATCCAGACTTCACTTCCTGAACTCCAGTTTTCTTATCTGTGAAATGTGGCTAGTTATTTCTGCCCTGCCTTCCTCATGGGGTTGTACTAAACATGAGCAGGTGTGAAAATGCTTTATAAACTGTAGAGCACTATGTAAATATAAATCATTACATAAACTATATGTTCTTTTGTTAAGACTTGATGGCATTGGCTCCTTTCCCCCAATTACAACTCTGCATTCTCTGTGGTTAGTAAAGAAACAGACTCCATTGTCAAGCCCCAAAAAGCATCTGCACTTCACCCAGTGCCATGTTAAACAAGCCCTCCCTTGGGCAGAAATCTGAGGTCATCAAAAATTCATCACTTGCAGCAGCAGTGGAGCCAGCCACTGTCCCCATCATTTGTACCTTCATTCAGAAAAAGAAGTAGATTTGGAAGAACTGGCCCCAAGAGCAGTCAACTGTAATACAGCCTATACTCAACTATTCAGGCCAATCAAGAAAACAGAAGGGGGGACATCGAGTGGTTCAGTTGGAGGAGCATGGGACTCTCGATCCTGAGGTCCTGAGTTTGAGCCCTACATTGGATGTATTGATTACTTAAATAAACACATAAACAATAAAAGAAAGAGGGGGAGGGGTTCAGAGTCATCTCAGATGAGACTGTGGAAATCATCATTTCATAATAGCCACCATGTAAGGAGGGCTTACTATATACCAGGTCTCGTGCCTTGAAAGAATTATTTCCAGCTGTCACTAGAATGCTCAAGGCAGGTATTATTATTCACATTTTACAGATGAGGCTAAGAGATTAAAAAAACAAACACACTTGCTCAAAAGCATGTAGGGAATCGGGTAAACTATAATCTGCTTTTTCTCATTCAGTGTTAAGCAAAAGAAATTCCCCCAGGCTGATGTCAGGTTCTGCCAAGGATGTGGCTGAAATGCTGGGTTTGAGGTTGACCCTGGAGCCAGTAGCCCCCAGAGTGAGGACTTGAAACCAGGCAGAGGGCTTTTGTGGTCAGAAGAGAAAAGTAACTTTGGCCTTTGGCAGAAACGGGAAGCAGGTGCCAATTCCCTGGGGTGGGTCAGGTTCTTACTCGCAGTCCAGGGTCTGTGTTTTTTACAGAGAGCTGAGGACAATTGTATCTGGACTGGGCATTGAGTGCTTAGCGATTAATGAGAACCTAATATCACTTTTTTTCCCCTAATATCATTTTTGTTTGGACCCTAAGCTACAAGAGGAAAGAGGCAATCCATGTACCTCTCTTGTGCCCCAAATTCAAGAGGTTACCCAGTGTCTACAGGCCGAGGTTCGGATACCTTGTCTAGCATTCAAGGCCCTTCTGATCTGGCCCCTCAACATTTCCTGATCTAAACCTGCCCCAGCCAAATGCCACCAAGATGGTCTCACCCAATGGCCTTGCCTATTCCTTTTCCCACACCTTTTCCAACAGGCAGTGCCCCTCACTGCTCTCAGCAGAGCCAACCCCACCCAGCCTCGAAGAGCCAGACTTGGGCTTTGTCTTCCATCTGAACTCCGTACCCAAATTCCTTGGCAGACCCCTACAGCCCTTGGAGCTGTGGCCTTCCGGTCAGGGCCTGCTTTGATAGCTAACTGTTGTGTTCCCCTGTCTCTCTTTGGATCCGTCCACCCAGATGCTAAGGACCCAGGGGAGCAGGGAGGCCATAGGTTATATTTTTGTGTCCCTCACACAGCACTTGCTATAGACATGACAGATATTAAATAACTGCTGTTGAGTTAATGAGCAGATGGATGGAGAGGTGGTAGTATTAGAGGTGACAAACCTCTAAAGACACAGGTCCCCGAACTCTGTAAGCTGGTCCTCATAGACCAGGCTTTGGAAGGAATCTTAGCTCAGGGCCAGAGGGAAGCTGCAGGTGGTATAGTTTGGTGGTCACTGGACTAGAGCTTCAGCTCCACCATGCAGGACAGGTGACTCTGACCCTGCTAAGACATCTCTAGAAAAGAACCTGGCTGCTACCAATTTTCCACCTCCCCACCCTCATAGCTGCAAACGGGATTTTTTTTTTTTTTGAAGGGTAGTTCTAATAGTTGCCCAAAGAAAGTAAGCTTTTCATGGTATACACATAGGGAATGGTGGTCCAGCCTCTCAGCATTGCCCAACCATGGATGGGTATGTGTCCTCACATGAAGATGGGAGCCAGTAAGACCCAGCATCCAGCACCCAGCTCCAGGGCAGCACTCAGAATGAGACTGGTTGGCTGCCAGGAAAGTGACCTCTCTCACCTATCCTCTCTGTTCCCCATCCCACTGTCCCCTACCTGGGACAGAATGCCAAAGGCCTGGTAGGGCCAGGAGCTCACCTGCCTTCTCGATAGAGATGGTTAACTTCAAAATGCTCTCTGGGGGAAAACTAGCCTAATTCTGTTCAAGAAGAACTGAAATTCCAGTACCTTCTCTTCCCTAAGGAACAGGCAGACCCAGGCCTCTTTTATCCCCAGGTACAAAGACACACCCCAACCCAACACAGACCATCACAGATACTTCTCCAGCTTGACGCACGCACGGGCCCTCAAATGTTATAAGGTTGGGGGTAGGGTGAGGAGGGGAATGGACCTCTCTGAATGCAGATTTAAGGGTGTCTATGAGATCACTTGGTGGTCAGGCAGTCTGAGAGGGAGCCACTTGGGACCTCTGAGAAAACCTGCCCCAAGTGCTCAGAGACCCCCAAATTACATCTTGTTACCCTCTGAGTGCTGCTCCCCAATCAATGAACAATGTGTTCAGCTCCTACTGTGTTGCTGGGGGGCAGGCGGTGCAGGGCTGCCCTGGCAGATGGATCAGCCCCTCCAGGGACTTCAGTGCTTCAGAGGCAAAGGTGTTTGCTGGTCCGGTCCTCAGGCCAAAGCAGCTGGGGTTTACCAGTGGTATATCTAGAGTATCCCCCCATCTATGCCAAGGATTCCATTCCAGCCTCCTCACCTTCTAAGATGGTTAAAGTTCTAGCTCCTCCTCACTGCCCTTCCAGGTCACCCACCTGTGCCCCCAATTGGCTCAGTCCAAAAATCTTCCCATAAATCTTAAATAGGTATGCAAGCAGGGGACCCTAGAGTGGATAGGACAAGCCCCCTTCTCAGAGCCTCGCCCTCCCTCTACCAGGCTGGTTTCCCAATCTGAGAGGAGAGCTCAACAGCCTTCTGCCTGGGCAGCCCCGGTGGCAGCGCGGCGGGAAACCCGGAGCCCCATCGCTGTCCGCCAGCCGCCTCCACAATCCTGGCCGGGCTCCCTCCTCCAGCACGCCTGGAGTTGGGGCCGACCAACAGGATCAACAACCCAGAAACTTTCAATGGTTCAAGCCGACGGGGAGGGAGAGAGGAAAAGAGGGGGAGTGGGGGCAGGGACCGGGGGAGGCTCCAGGGCAGAGCCCCTGCTCTTCACTTACCATCTTGTTCACATCCATGACCGAGGCTGCAGGGCACCCCCCAACCCTTGAGATCCCGCTTCCCCCAAACGCTGCTCCCGGCTAATTCCACCCCGACGGTGCCATGCTGCGGGGAGGGCGGCCGGCAGAGCCCCGGCGGACCGGGGAAGGCGGCGGCGGCGGCGGCGGCGGCGGGACCGAGGCTGGACCGGAGAAAGGAAGGGAAGGGAGCGGGGAGGGGGAGGGGGAGGGGGAGGGGGAGGGGGCCGAGCTGGGAGCCGCAGCGCACACCCGGGGCGGGAGCGGGGGCGGGGGCGGGGGCGGCGCGGCCGAGGCCCGGGGGCCCGGGAGTCCCGCTTTCGGCGGGAGGCGCCGCGCGGGGGGCGCGGGGGCGCGGGGGCGCGGGGAAGGGCGGTGCGGGCGGCGGGCGGATCCCCCGGGCCGGAGCCTGCGGCCCGGGCGCGCGGTGAGGGTGTGATTTGAATAACAAAAGGTCGGTTCTCCGGAGCCCGGCGGCCGGGATCGCCGAGCCGGGAGCGAGGCCGCGGGGCCCGCCAGGAAGTGTGCGTCCGAGGGCGAGGGTGTTGGGGCGTGTGCGCGTCCGCGCGGTGGGATCGGTGGGGCTCAGGCCGTGAGCGGGGGAGGCGGCACCGAGGGAGCGAGGTGGGGGCGCCGCGGGCCGACATTCCAGTGGGGGCAGGGGTCCGCCCGGCCCCTCCCCGCTGGGCTTCCCCGCACAAAGGCGGAATTCAGAAACAGTCGTTGGCCTCCTGCGGCTCCTCCGGAGGGGACGCCCAGGTGGGTCTGGGGTCTGCAAACAGAAGGAAGTGGAACAGGTATCCCCGGAAGGCTCTGCGCCCCGCGCGAGTGAGCCCGAGCCAGCCCTTCCGGAAGCAGGGAAATGGGCTTCTCAGGGCGGTCTGCGCGGCTCTCCCTGGCCAGAATCCCGGAACCTTCCACGCCTTACTCAGTGCTCTGCTGCCCTTAGAGGAATGGGAGGCGACCCTCCTCTCTGCGGGAGACCCCGCTGGTGGCGGAAGAGAGCTGCGGGCAAATGCTCCTCTGCGGTACAGCCTCCAGAAAAACCTGGACATCCAAGCTTACAGTTTCAATGCAAGCTGCCTCAAATCCTCTGGTAAGCGTGCTGGTTTGGGGCACTAGCCAACCCAGCAGGGACCTGAGGCCACGAACACTGCACGTGAGAAACTGAGGCCCAGAGCCCCGGAGTGATTTCTGACATGTCACACAGCTGGCAGGGGACAAGGGGCCAGAGAATCCTTAGTTAAGTAAGAACAGTGCAGCCCAGGCCAAAAAGAGCTTCCCATGCTACCACGGAGCACCCCGCTTCTAAAACCCTTTCCAGTGAACAAGTGATGGGACCCCTTCACAGCCCTGGCCCTCTGGTCTCAGGGCCCACAGGGCTGAGGAGGACAGCCCCCTCCCCTTCAAATCTGAGTTCTCAATCTATGAAATAGGGCTGTTGCTCTGCCTGCCTCCTTGGGGGATGTGAGAACAGCAGGATATAAAAAACATAAAAATAGAAGTACAGGAATGTATGGGGCTTTCACTGCAGGGGTGATTTCCATTTCCCGGCTCAATTAAGGGGCCCTTAAGCTCTAGGTAAGGCATCTCTGGGCCCGGATCTGTCTGTCTAACCCTGAGTCTGTCCTGCCCTGTACCAGTGCTGCCTCTGGCAAGCCCAGCTCTTCTGGCACAATACCCCAGCCAGGGGACTCAGGAGGCTGCCCTGGTCTGCTCCAGTGTGCTGGGTTCCCACAGTTCCTTCTATTGATTCATGCCCACAAGAATGAACCCATATGAGGTAGGAGGCAGGAAGGAAGCATGCCACTCCTTCCTCATCCACCAACTCTGACCCCCAAGGTAAATCAGGGCCAAGCGAATCAATGGGACTCACCCAATACAGAAATGAATTTGGGGTTATTTGTTGCCTGATTAAATGTACCAAGATCTTCGTTCTTAAAAGGAAGATTTCATATGTTTCAAAAATATCATGAGTGGCGCCTGCGTGGCTCAGTCAGTTAAGTGTCTCTGCCTTTGGCTCAGGTCATGATCCCTGGTCCTGGGATCCAGCCGCCTCCCCCCAAGTCAGGCTCCCTGCTCAGTGAGGAGTCTGCTTCTCCCTCTCCCTCTGCTCCCCCACCCCAACCCCCGCTGTGCTCTCTCTTTCAAATAAATCATCTTTAAGAAAAATATTATGAACACTTAGGCCTGCGGTTGATAAACAGATCAAGGTCTCCCAGTAGATCTTGGCACCCTAGCCAGCCAAAGCCCATTTTCTCATTAAAACGGGGATGACACCTGCTTCGCACTGCACAGAGGCAGGAGGGTCAAATGAAAGAATTTTCCCAAACTTCACCTGTAGTAGGCTGAATGACAGCCCCCAAGGATAAGAGGTCCTATTCTCTGGGACCTATAAATACTACTGTATGTGGCAAAGACTATGCACATATGATTAAGTCTAGGACTCTGAGATGGGAAGATGATCCTGGGTTATCTGGGTGGATCACAGATGTGATCGGGTGTATCCTTCCTTGTAACAGGGAGATTTGACACACAGAGGAGGCAAGGCATCGTTCCAGAGGTCGGGGTGATCTGGCCACAAGCTAAGAAATGCTGGCTGACCCTAGAGGCTTGAATAGGCAAGCAACAGATTTTCCCCTAGAGCCTCTAGAAGGAGTCTGGCCCTGTCAACACTTTGATTTTGGCCAAGGAATACTGGTGTCAGATTTCTGGCCTCCAGTACTAGGAGAAAATAAGCTTCTGTTGTTTTAGTCACCAACTTTATGAGCATTTGTTACAGCAAACACAGGAAATTAATATGCTGCTCAAAGGTCAGCCTTGGGGCTGCCCTCTCTGTGGACTTCCTTGCTGGGGAGCTAGCTGCTCACATGACAGCAGAGGCCAGCCAGAAAGCAGGTGGGCTCTCCTATTCCACTGGGGGAAGGTTGGGTCGGGCATTGGTAAATATGCAAGTAGCCACATGCAAGCATGTATATTTATGAATGCAAACGTACACATACACACACACACACACACACCCCACATATGTGTGGAGCTCCTTGCTAAAGAAGCAAACAGCATCTTTAAAGAGGTTGAGCTTCTCTGCCTTGGCTAATCCATCACCCTGCCAGGCCCACCCAGCACACAGACACCTTTGGGTGCCTGCCTTTCCTACCACACTCCTCTTGGGCAGACAGATTCAGGCTTAGAGAAGAGGTGAAAAGGAGGAGGCTGCCTGGAGATACCCCTTCCAGAGTGGTTGTATCATGAGGCATCCCATGAGGCTATGGGCCACTGGCTCAGGCTTGGGGAGCCTCCTGTGAGTAAATTGGACAGAAAGAGAAACAATGGGTTCAGAAGTAAGAATGTCGTGGCCATCAGCTGCTACTCTGTCCCTTCCTCACCAGCTCCAGGCCACTGCATCCAGCTGCCTACTAGGCATCTCTACCCCAGGGGCAGGGGTGGCAGGGTAAGGTCTCAGTCTCCCAGGCATCTCACACTCAAGGAGTCTAAATAAAGATATATTCCTCTTTTCCTTCTGTTTTCACAATCTGCTTCTCCTACGTTTTCTCTCATCTGTTGGTTCTGCCTCCATTTAGTTGCTCAAGCTAGAAACTTCGAAGTCAACTTTACTCCTCCTTTGACAACCCTCTGCTCCCCACCACCCATCTAATTAGATTCCACATCCACATAGTTCTCGCAAATAGCTTCCAATCTCTGTTCTCCCTTCCAATACTGGCTGTCCCTGCCCTGGCCAAGACTTTCAACAGCCTCCTAACTGGCCTCCCTGCCTCCAGTCTCTCTTCCTGTCTGATTCATCTTCTACACATCTAATCGCAGCTCCTCATTGGCCTACCCCAAATGGGGGGTACCCCAAACCTTTCCATTGGTCATTTGGCACTCATGGTCCCTACTGATCTGACTCCATCTCCATTCTAGTCTCTGTTGTTGTTGTTGTTGTTCTTCTTCTTCTTCTTCTTCTTCTTTTTTTAGTCTCTGTTCTTCTATCCCCTTCCCTCCACCCCATCAATGAGATCTTGGTCCTTCAAACGGCTCACATGGCTCAGGATGTTCCTGGAATGCCCTTCCCATTTTCTCGGCCTAGAAAATTCTTTCTCATCCTTCAGGACCCATCTCTGATGTCACCTTCTCTGTGAAGCCATTCCCTGACCCATCCAGACATAGCTGATCACTGGAGTCCCTTCCTACCATGAACAGCCCCTGTGTGTACAGCCTGAGTCAGCCCAGGATGGGATGCTCTGTGCCCTGGGCTCTCCCTGTGAGCATCCTAGAGCGCACACTGGGCCTTCCTGACCTTATATCCTGCCCTGCCTCTCAGCCAGAATTTTATATCCACATCACTGTTTTAGCTTTAACAACTATAAAGTATGGAATGGCCCCAGGAAACCCATGGAAGGGTGCCGTGGAGGAGGCCTAGTGGAGGGTGACACCTACCGGAGAACTGTGGTTCTGCAGCCTAGCCCTACGGATCCAAGCCACGCTGATGGGCTGGAATGCCAGGTTCTGGGCTGGACCTTACAGGGTATATTGATTCCCAGTAAGGAAGTTTCAACCAAACAGTCTTCCCTCCAGAAGGACCTTATAGAATGTATGTTACTGTGCTGCCACTAACACTAAATTCTGCAGAGAGCTGTGAGGTTCAGAGAATGCCTTTTTGTCCATATTCTCTTTGGATCCTTAAAATCATCAGGTAAGGTAGATAGAACAGGTATTATGAGAACACCTGTTTTGCAGGTAAGGTTGTTGCAAAGGAATGTGCAACTGATACCTGAGGAAGGCGCTGGGGGGGGGGGATGTCCAAAGGTTCGTCAGCTTTGCCAACAGCGTTTTAGTATTTTATAAGGGGGATGTCCTAAAATACTATTATTTGCATAATAACTGGCTATTACAGAAGGAAGTGTAGGCTCCTTCTGAGTCAGACAGGCCTCAGGTTGAATTCTGGCTCCATTACTTTCTGGATATGGGCAATTTCCTTAACCTCTCCAAATGTTAGTTTTCTTAACTGAAAAGCAGGGCTTATAGATACCTTCCAGGGTTGGTGTGAGATGAAGCAAACTGATGCATAGAAGGCCCACAGGGCAGTGGGAGGCTGACCCTGACTTATCCACAAACAGTCATCTCCTCCATTTACTTGGTGGTAGTTCCTAGAAAGTTCTAGGTGCTTTT